CTTTAAATCAATGACATTTTCATTAGTTGTATGTATATAAAAGCATTGACCCAATTAGTTTGAATTAAAAAAAATTTTTTCTGACTTTGTGAATGACAGTATTGAATCATTATTTTTTCAAATTATAAATATATTTAATTAAAATTGATTTTATAGAATTAGATCAACTATATAATCTAATTATTATTTAAAGGTTTATTAAAATGTTCGAAAATGGTTAATTCTTGTAAAGTATATGAAAAATTGGAAAAATTATAAAGAATATTTCTTTTTAATTTCAACAAATTCCAAGTGAAATAAACGATGAAGATGACTGTGCGGTAAATAATATCTTTTAAGAGTCTTTTTAAATTTATTAACTTGATGTATATAATTTGAAAATGAATTGTCTAGTAAATTATAAATATTATCCACAAAGCATGAGTTGAAGATAGTTTTATGGTTAGGAGGAAGGAAAATCATTGACTTGAGAGCTCATTGACAGAATATTAAGTAACAGGAGGCTTCTTGCGAGAGTGTAACAGTGCCAATGAAAGATGTTATACTCTCTTTACATTCTTCTTCTATATATCGAGGTTTCTGGTCAGTAGCACGCAATAATTCATATCCCATTAGATCCCCAGGTATTCCGATTTCACTATACTATATAATAAAATACAACAGACCAGCAATTATCTCATATATATTCTAGAGTGATAATAAAATCTGTTTTTTCTTTTTTTTTTTTTTGCAAATACATTAATTACGATATTCCGCTAGAAACATATTTCTAATAAAAACTTAGAAAAATTCTTATTTTATTTCATTAGATACTCTAAATAACATTTTTATCATTAAAAAAAAAAAAAATTGGTAATTTCTTTTTCTTTTTGTAGAATTCATTTGACCTTGTTTTACAGCATTGAGCGTTGTGTAAAATATTTAAGTATAAGTTTCAGAGTATTCGTGACATTAAAAAAATTTTGTTTTAAATAATGGGTCAATCCATTATATTTCGAATGAAGTGGTCGCTGACTAATTTTTAAAAATTATAATACTTTGCAGGAATGATTTTGAAGTTATCAAGATCACGAAATGAAAAGAATTTTAATAAAATTTTAATTATTTATTGCAAAATATGAATTTAAAGTATATGAGGTGCTGAAAACTGTCAATTTTTTAGCCATTAGAAAATATGCAAAAAAAAAAACAGAATTTACCATAAAAATGAAAAAAAATTGTTGTAATTTACTAAGAATGAATAAATTTATCATTATCAATTGATGTAATTATTTAAATATGTGAAATAATATATAAAATATGATTTTCAAGTTCGCCTGTCAAATAACCTAAATTTGTAAATTTCATCTATTAAATGTGAGAAAGAGAAGTCATTAAATTGAAAAAAACCTTACCAAATATAAAGTACCTGTGACTAACTTTTAGTTTTTCTTAGCACTTTTTTCCTTTTTTCTTCATAAATGTGAAATAAAAAGCAATAAAAATTGGCACTTTGCTTATTTTCACTATTTTCAAATGTAAATAACTTTCTTGGAGAAAACTGAAAAATTACAAAACTTGGGCAATATCTAATTGATCACTAAATACACACACTGGAAAAAAATTCGCTTTGGTCCCGAAGATACTTTTTGAGATAATTAAGTTTAAACTTTTCACAATTTTTATCAGGTTAATACATGTAGTTTTTTAAGGACGAAGTTAGGTTTTATTGGTTAAATATTTTGAACTAACTTCAATTTTATAAAAATCACATGCATTAACCTCATAAAAATTGTGAAAAATTTAAACTTAATTATCTCAAAAAGTATCTTCGGGACCAAAGCGAATTTTTTTCCAGTGTGTGTATTTAGTGATCAATTAGATATTGCCCAAGTTTTGTAATTTTTCAGTTTTCTCCAAGAAAGTTATTTACATTTGAAAATAGTGAAAATAAGCAAAGTGCCAATTTTTATTGCTTTTTATTTCACATTTATGAAGAAAAAAGGAAAAAAGTGATAAGAAAAACTAAAAGTTAGTCACAGGTACTTTATATTTGGTAAGGTTTTTTTCAATTTAATGACTTCTCTTTCTCACATTTAATAGATGAAATTTGCAAATTTAGGTTATTTGACAGGCGAACTTGAAAATCATATTTTATATATTATTTCACATATTTAAATAATTACATCAATTGATAATGATAAATTTATTCATTCTTAGTAAATTACAAAAAAAATTTTTTATTTTTATGGTAAATTCTACGTATTTTTGCATATTTTCTAATGGCTAAAAAATTGACAGTTTTCAGCACCTCATAAACTTTAAATTCATATTTTGCAATAAATAATTAAAATTTTAATAAAATTCTTTTCATTTCGTGATCTTGATAACTTCAAAATCATTCCTGCAAAGTATTATAATTTTTAAAAATTAGTCAGCGACGACTTCAGTCGAAATATAATGGATTGACCCTAATATTATTATTTTATTAATTATTAATATTAAGTAGTATTTTAAAAGCCATTTATTATTTTTAAACCACTTACCATGCAGAAATTACCATATTTTACCTTATTTAAAATGAAGCTTCCTTCAGGGCCTTGACAGTTTTCATGTTTGGAAAAAATGTAAATAAACTAAGTTTTTAACATTACCTACCGTTTTGCAAAAAAAAAGTAAAAAAAGGTTAATAATTAAAGGGAATATTTGTACTAGTTTTTTATAAATTTTTTTATTATAGGTCTTTGACCAAAATTTATTATTTATAATAATATAATATTTATTATTTATGATTTATTTATTCTTGTATAGTTGACTAATTACGTGTAATTTATATATTTGAAATAAATGGTTCTCTTCTACTGCCTACTGACAAAATTGGTTTGATATTAAAAAATCATACGATACATGAAACTGTAGCTTAAGATGTCGAGTTTCATTTGCCGTTTTGCGTTTTTGAAAATATTATAAACATGGACGATAAATATGGCACCTGGAATAAAAAAATGCAAACAAAAAAAATATAATTTGTTGTTGTCAAAGCTTCAAAAATTAGTTGAATTATTCAGACAAGGTATATTAAGGGCTTCTGTGGGTCACTGATTACGAATATGATGAATTTGAAGTTAATTTTAAAAATTAAACATGACGCATCCAAAATGGCGCCCAAAAAAATAGAAATTTGATCAGATTTGCCTGAAACTTTTTTCTCTGGGGTTTTTGGAGTCGTTGATTACGAATTTGAAATTGGTTTTTAAAAATTCAAAATGGCGGATCCAATACAGCTATTATAACATTTAAAAAAATGTAATTTTGTTATTAATTTACCCAGTAAAAAATTTCAAGTGATTCTGATCAAATTTTTTTTTGGGCTCCATTTCGGATCCGCCATTTTGAATTTTTAAAAACCAACTTCCTATTCGTAGTCAGCGACTCCAAAAACCCCCGAGAAAAAAGTTTCAGGCAAATCTGTTAAAGTTTTAGAAAAACGTCCACCATTTTTAATTTTTGAAAATTAACTTCAGATTCATCATATTCGTAATCAGTGACCCCCAGAAGCCCTTAATATACCTTGTCTGAATAATTAAACTAATTTTTGAAGCTTTGACAACAACAATTATATTTTTTTTTGTTTGCATTTTTTTATACCAGGCGCCATATTTATCGTCCATGTTTATATTTTCAAAAACGCCAAACGGCAAATGAAACTAGACATCTTAAGCTACAGTATCATGTATCGTATGATTTTTTAATATCAAACCAATTTTGGGTATTAGCGGGTGTCCGTTTGGCAGAAAATGGCCCTTATATATTATTTAAAAAAAGGATTATAAATTATTATTACTCTCTAAGTCTTAATTAGTAAAAATGTTTACTAATTTGAATTAGTGAATCACTTTTTGCTTCTGAATTAGTAAAATTTAATTAATTTTAAAGAAAAAAGTGAGTCACTAATTTAGATTAGTAAACATTTTTACTAATTCAGATTTAGAGAGTTGATGTTAATTTTAAAAATTATGTTAATATTTCATTATGAGAAACAAGGTTGTATAATTTTCATATTCAAAAAGAAGTTTAATTTAATAAATTTATAAGTTAATATAGCTGTGTGATCAGAGTACACGGCTCGCGTCCCAAGGGCCCCGGCTTCGATTCCCCATGCGTGAGAGATTTTTTAAAATTATTCTTATGTATTTTATATACTGTATTATAAAATAAATAATTATATAAGGTTTATTATATAATCCTATTATAAAAAGTACATAGCGTTATGCGTTACATGTGTAACGCTTTTTAGTAAAACTAATAAAATTAATTAGTCGAATATAATATCAACATAAAATATCATATAAAACATCATTATACTACTGTTTTATTAATACAAAATAATTCAATGATTAAAAGAAAATAATCAGTGCGCGAAGGTCTCGTATCTTAAAAAAGAATATAAAGTTGGAGATAAAAAAATTTTTAAAACTCATTTATTTAAAAAAAAATTTCTTAGACTAATAATTTAATTTTTTGTAACAAAAATTGGATTTATAATAAAACTTTTTACAAAATTATTTTTTTTTACTTAAAATCGAAATGAGAATTTCAATTAACTCAAAATTAGTCCCTAATACTCTCTAAATCTGAATCAGTCATATTTTACTGATTAGCAGTAGAAATCTATTAATTGCCATAGCGAGAATTGAGCAACTGACAATTAGTAGAAATTTACTGATTCAATTAGTAAAATATAAATTACTGATTGAATCAGTAATATAAATATATGGCAGCGGCCACAAAATCTACTGATTTAATAGTTAATTTTAAAGGTTATGTTATATACAAATTACTGATTTACATAAGTTATTTTCTATTGCTTGCATATTCACTAATTATATTAGTAAATTTCAAAAAATAACTGAAACTTCAGTTAAAATGAAAAGTACTGATTGAATTAGTAAAATTTCTACTGATTCAGATTTAGAGAGTATGTAATTTTTTGAACTTAAAAAAAGATGTCAAGTCTTGAATTAAGTTAAATTAGGTTAAATGTTTTTTAAGTCACATTAACACATCTGTTTTTATTACGATTGTGAAAATTAACATTACACTATACATAACATTATTCAAACAGACACTAATTATACAATATTAAAGTAAAATAAGACAAATTTCAGTATAAATGTAAAATTTAAAAAAAAGAAAATATCCTTCCAAATGAACTCAAATCCTCTGTCCTCTGACTCGAGTCCACTTCCTTTGGATCATGAATTTGAATCGTCATCGTGCTTTATTTGTGGAATAAAAAAAAATGTAAGCTTGCCTTAGAGATGAGATCGTTATTCGCGATGAGAATTTCAAGGCCACTTGCTAGTTATTCCACACGTCGCCTCATCTTCCAAGGTCAGAGGACAAAATTCATCAGCAGTTACAATTTCCAAATCTCCAATATCAAATCGCGGTTTAAATGGTAATTCTGAAACTAAAATTCCCTCGCGATGTTCACTTTCAATTTTTGTAATCTCTTCATCGAGATCAAATTCTGAAAAATCATCATTCTCATCGTCATCAATTTTAACTGATTTTTTCGCAAATTTAAAATCATTTTCTGTGAATGTAATTGGAGTGTATTTTCGCTTTTTTGATTCTCTTTTATTGCTCTCTGACTCTTGAATTGATCTCTTCTCTCTATTCTCTTTATTTTCTCTCTTGTCTTTAGTTACTCTTTTGTTTTTCATTGTTCCTTTAATTCTCGTCTCTCTTTTATCTCTCTCATTTCTTAAATCATGCAATGAAGCATCTCTGCCATTCTTCTCTCTCTGTTTTTCCATTTTTTCTTTCCGCTGGACCAATGGAGAATAATCTTGAAATCCATGATTTCCGGTCGACTTGATGGGCATCGCATTTCGCATGGCTTGCATCTCGTGAGATTCTTGGAATGCATTATTATCGACTGATGCTGTGACCCTGTTTTCTCTCGGCTCATTGGTCTCGTGATCGACATTTTCTAAGAAGGATGCGGCGGCGGCAGTTGTTAAAACATCGACTGATCTTGGTCCGGTTAGATGAGTTTCGGCTGTTTGACGTTGCTCCTCATTTGGCGCTGTTAACAAATTCTTTGCGTTGATAAATTCATTTTCTCGCTTATCGGCCTTGAGTGCTGCGTATGCATTTAAATCGTCTCGCATTTTCGGATTTTTCTTAAATTCCTCGTGAAGATAATTCTGAAATCGATCCTTAAAAAAACCATCAATCATCTTCCAAACATTGGTGCTGTACAGTCCCAGAATACCAACGAGGAAAACTCCTCGGAAAATTATGGCAAACATCTTCTCATTCAGATGATAATAATAATAATAATAGTAATAATAATAATTTAACTCCTTCAGCAAAAGTAATATTAGTCTTCAAAAAAAATTTTTCATCGAACAGTTGAAAATTCTGTTCAAAAGAACATTTTTTTTTATAAATTTACTAATTGCTGTTTATTTATTTTTTTAGTAGTTGTTGTAATTATTGTTATTGTTGTTCTCTTGCTGTAGTAAACAAACGTTAACTAGTTGTTTAATTGTTCATCTGCTGTTTATTGTTAATATAGTATACAACAATTTACAGATTTTTCTTTGTTGTTGTAATAAACAAAAGTAAACTCGTGGTTTGTTTGTTTACTAGTTTTTGTTTCTTGTTGTAATAAACAAAATTTTATTGTTTATTTGTTTAATAGGTGTTGTTTATTGTTATTATAATAAACAACAGTCTACTGATAGTTGTTTATTGTTTTTGTAGTAAACAACATATTATCGATAATAGTGTATTTTTTTATTCACTTTTAGTTTTGTTTTTCTAGTAAACAACAGTTTAGTGATGGTTGTTTCTTTGTTTGTTTACTAGTTGTTGTTTGATTACTTTTAGTTTTGTTTTTGTAGTAAACAACAGTTTTGAATGTTTTTACTATTTTTTTTTATTTCTCTGGCAAAAAATAATATTTTTAAACGCTTTGTTGTTTTCTGTTTATTTTTAATTGTTGTTTATTTTTTATGTAATTGTTATCTTTGCTTGCTTTTCCTTAGGAATTGATCAACATTTATTAAAATTTAATATTTTTTGTTCTCTTTGTGGAGTAGAAAAAGAATTTTTTTTTTTTCAAAGAATTTAATCATCTCCCATAATTAATTCTCGAATAATACTATATGTTTCTTGTAAACTTGGCCAAGCCATTGTTATCACAGCTAGAATAGAATTGGCAATGACGAAAAGTTTCATCATTTCTACACCATTATCAGAACGTATCCACGTTCCGAATCCTTCATTAAGCTCTTCGTCATCATCTAAATTTCTTACTTCAATGTTATCTTCAACTGGTTTTGAAATATTAATTTTCGGTACTCGACGATTATTTTTTGAACGTTCGTCCCTTGATGTTTCAGTTTGTTTCTTCATCGCGAGACAATTTTCATCTGAAACTGACAATATTAGTAAATTATTAATTAATTATTTATTATTAATATTGTTAGTATTTTCTTTTTGATATAATGTTTAATAATCATTTTTCTTTATAATTAGTGTAATATTTTAAATTATTAATATTTAAATGCGAGTAAAATATACCTTTTTAATTAACATTTTCGAATTAACTTTTGGAAATAAAACTAAATATTTCATTGATGTGCGATAATAATAATAGAAATTAATTCATGAAACAAAAGCTCCGTAATAATTTAATCCGACAATTTTGGCTTTGATATTTAGATTTGTGTATTAATACGTAATAAAAATAATATAATTTATTTAATTTAGAAGAAAAATGAAATTTTTTAAATTTATATTAAAAAATTTAATTAAATAAAACGTTTGTTTTCGTGTACATATATGTATATAGGTATATAAATATTGAAAAATATTTGTAAGTTTATTTAGTAAATTTTTTTTCCCCCATTCTATAATGTAAATACAATTTTGAAAAAAAGTGTAAATTCATATTTAAAAAAAAGATTTCAACTCAAAATTAATATATTCACAACCATTTAATAAAAAAATTTCTTTTTTTTATTGAATTTAATCTGAATACATAATTAAATTCATAAACAATGACATATAATTTCAACGCGTTAAATTATTTATTTCTGCCAGTGGAGTATTGTAAACTCAGCACATTGAGAAAGTAAACCCCTCAGGTCAATAGCAGCTAAAAGCTCGCGAAAAGCACACGACCTAAGCTGTATATAAAAAGCTTCTAAAAAAAATCTTTGTCATGTACCATTTTCGATTCATTATTCTATATATATTTTTTTTCCTGAAAGAAAAATTAGAATTTAATTTTAAAATGTAAAAATGTAAAATTACATTGAAAAAAAAAAATTTATTTAATTCAAATAATATATTACTGGACTATTATCAAATAAATATTTACTTGAACCAAATAATTTTTATTTGAATAAAATTAATTGTATTTGAACCAATCATTTCTGTATTTAAAACAAATAACATTTTATTGACTCAAATAAAAATTATTTGGTTCAAGTAAATATTTATTTGATAATAATTAAGTAACCGATTGTTTGAATCAAAATAAATTATTTTTTTTCAGTGTAGTTTATCTTTATTTAAGGTAAATCTTATAATAAACTAAATTAACTGTTTTTCCATTCATTTGAAGTATTTTACTTGTTAATGTTGACCTGAATTTTATGCTTTCAAGATAAAATCGTTATTGTGAACCTAATGTTAACCTAGAAACAATAATCACTCATTCAACACGTTTCTTTTGGACTCTTCTTATAGACTCTGAACGAGAAATTGAAAGATCCCTTAATTGTTTCATTATACTTATCACGTACGAAATGAATGGAGATTTTAACTACTCCTCACAATACAATACAATTTCTATTACTGGCAGAATTTATTAGGTTTTTAAAAAAAAGATTTTAAAAGCGAATAATAAGCTTTCAAAAGTATCAAAGTTTTTTTAACACACTTAAACTGAAAGTAAAATCATTTAATGAAAAATCTTAAAAATATTTTTTTATAATTTGTTGATTAATGAAAACTACAAGAAATATCTTTGAGACGAAAAATTATAGAATTTTTCATTTTGAAAAATTATTTCTTTAAAAATCGTTTATCATAAACGTTGCGTACTTCAGCTTCGTTTTAATGTAGGTGTAAAAAAAATTTTTCTAACACACGCAACGAAAGTACATCATTTCTCACCTGTATAGCGGGTGGAAAGTAAGTCTTTCCCGGCGACCAGGAAAGGAATATTAATTTCCCTCCCTGTTATCGAAAAAAACATGAAATGTTTCTAATAACAATTGTATTTTTCACTATTATCAAATAATAAATTGTGATTATTAATAAATTAATAGTATTTTTTAGGCAATAAATTATAGAATTTTTTATTTTAAAAAATTATTTCTTTAATAATTGTTTATCATAAACGTTGCGTGCTTCAGCTTCGTTACATTAAAAGTGTTAAATAGACGAAAATTCTAATTTAAAACAATTTCATTTGATGCAAATTCGGAAAAAGGGGAAATTTATTAGATTGCATTCAATGTAATCTAATGGATGCGGAGCGAATCGAGAGAATATTTGCGGTAAACATTCATGTTTTGTATACCATAGTGTGAGAATGGAGTATCTACTCTATATATACATTATAAGGTATTCCACGCCAAATTTTGCATTTATACATCTCCAATTTTTTGAAATTTTTCGTAGCAAGCCGTTTACAAGATATGAATTTAATGATTTTAATCTCAGATTTTAGTTTTAATTAATTAATGTAATTTAATTCCTTTTTCAATCTCAGTACTAACAGAAAAAAAAGTTCAAAAAAAATCGTAGAATGTAATTATGTAAAATTGTGTCTATGACAATACTTTATGGATTTTAATTTGTATGATTTTTTGAAGAATTTTTCATGTAGTTTTCAATGCTTTTAACAAATCTAAATAGGTTTAATAACAATACCATTTTAACAATTTTTCTCTGTCTCAACAACAAATCGAATTGCTAGTTCTATATTGACAATCAGAAATTGTTTTGAGGACTTAATTTTTAGTAACCACAATATTTTTTTCTCCGTGTAGGTGTCCAATTTAAAAATTTCGAAATGATCTATAAATTTTTAAAAAATGAATACAACAATGAAAAATAAAAACGTATATAAAATATTTAATGAATTATTATTGTATTTTTGAATACAGAAAGCACTATTTGATAATAAAATTTGAAAGTAAAAAATTGGTAAATAAATTTTTCGTTCATTTGAACGTTCAGAACTTCAGGTATACAATTTCGAAATGAATATTTGACAAATTAAAAACCAGCTTGTACCATAATAGCCCCTTTTGACAGTTAGAGAAAACTGCAATTTTATTTATTTATTTTTTTGAAAAGCCTCGAATTTATATAGATGCATCAGTGAATGTTTGATGATTAGTGATTACGTTTCTGATGTATAAAGTGAGCAATGGATTTGCTGCAACTGCAGTGGGCCAGTGGCTACCTGGACACAATTGAATTGAAATTCTCTTGTGGTTGGCCTCGACCGCTATCTTTCAGAGTATAGGCACTTGTAACGATGTCAAATACCAGCGTGCCAAAAGCAGAGTAGTACGAAATCTGTGGGCAACCGCCGCTACTGCAGCCCGGTTAAAATCGCTGAGGGAAAAGCGAATACATGTTATCAGCGAAGGGCAGTCTTGACTCGTCTCGATCGTTTATTGCTTGCACAATGCAAGGTCCTTTCACTCTCTATATCGCAAACACATATATATGTATAAACTATAATGTGTATCATCTGTCTTCATACACTGAGAAAAATTATCTATTAAACTTCAAACTTCAATTGGTAGAATTATCTATTCGAAATTTTATTTGGTCGAAATTTTAAATTATCGAAATTTTAAATGGTCGAAATTTTAAATAATCGACATTTTAAATAATCGACATTCGATAAGGTAACTCCAAGTGATAAAAATTTAATTCCAAATTGTCGAAATTCTAAATGGTCGAACTTTTATTTCATTGAAACTTTAAATAGTCAACATTTTAAATAGTAGACACTTTTTTCGTGTAAGAGTCTCCTTTCTCTGTTGTTTATATAGAAAGGAAAAGGAAAAAAAACTCTTACACCAAAAAAGTGTCTAATACTATTTGAAGTTTCGATCAAATAAAAGTTCGACCATTTGGAATTTCTATCACTTGGAATTACCTTATCGAATGTCGATTATTTAAAATGTCGTTCATTAAAAATTTCGACTATTTGGAGTGCCGTTCAAATAAATAAAATGTCGAACATTTTGAGTTTCTAATGTTCAAAATTTCGAACATTTAGAGTATCGACCATCTGCAGGTTCGAGCATTTTAAATGTCGATCATTTAATATATCGACCACTTAGTATGTCAACTTAATAAATTTCGATCATTTGGAATGTCGAATTTTTGGGGAAAAATCATGCATCACTTTCACAGGACCAAAAATTTCAAATTACATATTTTATTTTAAGTTTTTCAATCCAAATGATGCCTTGAAAAATATTTCTCAAGGTATTATGTGGATCCAAAATCTTTTTAAGAAATAATTTAATATTTTTGGTCCCGTGAAAAATAATTTTCGACGCTGAGCGACAACATCAACTTCATGGAGGTGGTGATTTAAAAAAAAATCATGATTTTTATCCGCCCTCATTTATAAATTGTAATCCAAATCGCAAATTAAACCCAATAAACTTTTGTGTGTGAAGCATCAAAGTAAAGGGTAAAATTTTCCAACTCGAGCATAATGAACTATCCCTATATACTATCGAACTTTGTACCTCGTCAGTATATATATGTATATAAAAATGGTCTCCGGAGAACTTTCTCACTGTACTATTGGTTTGGAAATGGATCAGAATATCTACAATTTTCCCGAAACTCCTAAAACTCATGAGACAAAAGTTTGGAACGATCAAATGAACGAAAATTTTTTTTTTTCATTTACTAATAAAAACCCAATAACATCACTCAGAGTAGTTAATAATACAATAATTATCAATAAAAAACCAAAACTATTCACATTAAGGGTGAAAACAACCCTTAATCATATTATGTCTATTGTGAAAAAAAGAATGTCCAAATACAACAATTTGGTGTTCGGCTATTTTCTTAAAAATACCGCCAAAAATTCTCTAAAAATATACCCAACCAAAATCCATTATCCAATTGCGGCGCTCGCACCCCTAAAAGCCACCCCTATAGATGATTAAAATAAAAGTGTCATTTTTCACCCTTTGGTGTTCGGCTTTTTTCTTAAAAATACCGCCAAAAATTCTCTAAAAATATACCCAACCAAAATCCATTATCCAATTGCGGCGCTCGCACCCCTAAAAGCCACCCCTATAGATGATTAAAATAAAAGTGTCATTTTTCACCCTTTGGTGTTCGGCTTTTTTCTTAAAAATACCGCCAAAAATTC